GCAAGTTTGGGTGACTCTTATCTTGCAACTTAGCACATGGCTTTCTCTACAACTCTCCACGGAACTGCTTTTTGAAAATCCTCCATGTCTTCCTTCACAGGAGCAGTCAATTACAGTCAGTTTCAGATATTGGATTCGTTTCCTGGGGTTACTATAACAAATTACCACATGCAACGGTTTAAAACAAGGGGGATTTGTAGGCTCACAGTTTTGGAGACCAGAAGCCCTAAATCAGGATAATAGCTGATACATGCCCCCTTTGGAGACTTGGGGGGGGGCGGGGCAGGGGGGTTCCATTCTTATGCCTCCTAACTTCCAGTGGTTGACACATTCCTTGGTTTGTGGCCAATTCACTGTCATCTCTGCCTCTGTGGTCAGTTGTCTTCTTTTCTGTTACCCCCATGTCTTCCTCTGCCTTTCTCTTAAAGGACCCTTGGTCATTTGGTTAGGAGCTCTGGTGGTGTAGTGCTTATGTGTTGGGCTGCGATGCACATGGTTGGCAGTTCAAAACCACCAGCAGCTCTGCAGGAGAAAGACTTGACTTTCTACTCCTGTAAACAGTTACAGTCTTGGAAACCTATGGGGGGGTGCATCACTGTGAGTCAGCATTGAGTTTGTGAGCATGATGGCAGTGAGGTTTTGTTGTTTGTTTGTCTAGTTATTTGGTTTAAAACACACCCTGATCATCTCAAATAGTTTACTTACATCTGCAAAGAGCCTCTCTATCCAAGGCAATAGTCACTGGTTCCAGAGATTCGGGCATAGCTATATTTTGGGGGGACATGCATTCCACCCATTATAGATGTCTGTGAGACCTTTAACAAACTCCTTTTTCTCTCACTTCGACACTACACTAACCTGTTATTCCTCAATCTTTTCGCTCTTTCTTTCTTGGTCTTTTGACCTTGCTACTACACTTTGCCAACTCTATGCACGGGAAACCTGAACTAATTGTACCTTCAGCAAACCAGCTCTCTCGTAGACTTCGATGCGTCGCTATATCACATCATCACCTGAAAGTAATCTGTCACAAAGCTGCCTGTAGAACCAGGACACTTCACGGATACTAACCAAAGACATAACATGCTGATGTTCGGAACTGTGAGAGGGGACACTTCCATGTTCATTTTTTCCCCCATGTTCATTCTACAGTCAGCCTATCATTAATTAAAATGCATTGAAACACTGAACATAAAGGTAATTCATGTTAAATAAGAGAAGTGATTTCATTTACAAAACAATTACTTATGCCTCTAAGAAATCACATTTCTCTTTTAACTAAATCTTATAGCTTCAACAGATTTTGTTCCTGGAGACACAGTCCTTCTACTCTTACTCCCTTACCTATATCATTCCTCTATTCTCTCCCACCCAAAGGAGTCTACAAGGTGGGCAGTTCAAATCCTCCAGCTGCTGTGCAGGAGAAAGAGGAGGATGCCTGCTCCTGTCAAGATCCGTCGTCTCAGAAACCCTTGGGGGTCACTCTGAGTCAGAACCACCTCAATGGCAGTGGGTGGCGGCGTATGCTGTTAGCGATGACTGCTCAGATCGTTATAAAAGTTTTATCCTCCAACCCTTGCTTCTTACAAAATTTACCATCCCACCTACTTACTCTCTTTTTATACTAGTTATACACGTGATTCCTCTGCTCCAGGCATTAAAGTCTTCCTGCTTCTCCTCATCCATTGTGGCTCCAGTTGCTGAACATTGTGCCAGCGCTGTCATAATAATTGTACATGTATAGTGGTTACAATTTTTGAAGGATGTGTACAGTCTCATTTGATCCTCGGCATAAGCCCCACCAGCTGAGGAGTTATTATCAGATTTAATTTTTTGACTTGAAGAGATTTGGAAATGGATGCACAGAGAGGGGAAGTCAGCAGATTTTGAGGCTTCTAAATTCAGTCATAGAAAAGGGAAGCCGGCAAATTCCCCAACTCCTACATTGAGTCACTGAGAGGGACAGTCAGTAGGTTTCTAAGCAAGGACAAGTGTCTGTCCGATACAGAACCCCATTGTAAGATGATGCATGCAAATAAGAGGGTTTATTATAAGGATGCAAGGGAATTGCGTGGATCCCCAAAGCCTGACTTCATCTGTTCCTCTCTGGAATGGGGACCTCACTGTTCAGGCCAAATGGCAAACTATACTTCTCCAATGGACAGTTGTTTGTAGTCACTTGCAGAAGTTAAACAACTCTTTCTAAGTCCAAGGTCCAAGTTCTGAGTAGAAACTAACTTGATTTACCCCACTTACTCGAGGGGCAAACCAGCCTCGCACCAGGTGGGTGACTTGACTCAGATACACACTTCCCCGGGAATGAGACACGGTTTCCACAGAAGGAAGTGGCCTCTGGGCTTAGGAAAGACGTTTAAAATGCCGCCCTTTTACAATTGTGTGGGGATGGTATAGGAAGCTGCACTGGAGGTAACACACCCAAAGGAACACAAGCCACCCCTTTCATAAAGGAAGGAAGCCGGCTACACAGACCGCAGCACCCCCGGGGAGCACAGACTCCTTCTACACCCAAAGGAGCTCTAGCTACTCCAGTGCTGCTGGCTGGTGCTGGGGGATTGCCCTGGATGTGAATGGCTGCTTTTGCATTGTGCTGTTGGCCAAGACTATTGAGTGCCAAGGACCGGCCTAAGAAGGCACGCGTTTGTCTCTGAATAAGTTCAGCAGCCAGAGCCCTCCTTGGAGGATGGTGCCACGTTGCCTCACATACTTTGGGCATGTTCTCCGGAGGACCAGTGCCCAGAGAAGGGCAGCAGGCCAGGAAGCAGAGGGTACCAAGAAGGAGGCATCCCTATCCCTTCTTGAGATGACCTGGCAGAGGGGCTGCCACCATGGGCTCAAACAGCAAGGATTGTGGAGATGGCACTGGACTGGGCAGTGCTTTGCTCTGTTGAACCTAGGGTTGTTAGGAATCCCAACGAACTGACTGGCACCTGCCCACAACTAATGGAAAAGTTGGCACCTTGAACGCACCAAGCAAGACCATGTAAGAAAAGCCGAGAGCTCTGCTTCCATACAGATGACAGCCAAGAAACCCTCAAGTTGGGCTGTTCTACTCCAACCCGGGGGTTATCATGTGTTGGGGTCAACTCATCAGCAAATAGGTACTACTCCCACCCTGAGCTACTCTACGCTGCTGACCCCAAACTATCGCCTCAAAGTCGGAATCCAAAATGAATGAGCTTTTTCACTAAGTACAGCTCTACAACATGAGCTCTTGTGGCGCTAACCAGGTAAGCATGGGATGGTTAATGGGAAGGTCGCTGGTTCAAACCACTAGCTGCTTTGCAGGAGAAAAATGAGGCTATCTGTTCCCATGATGTCCTTGTCCAATATCTGTTCCCATATAGATATGCAGCCTCAGAAACTCCATATAGGGTCACTCTGAGTCAGAACTGACTCGGCGGTAGTAAGTTTCTGTTCTATCACGACCTTTCAGTGTGCCCAGTCTGGTTGGGGGAGTAGACTAGATCAGTGTGGTGATCTTGGTATGTGTGGTTGTTGCTGTTGGATGCCGTCGAGTCAGTTCCCACTCATAGCGATCCTATGCCCGTGAGAAGGAAATGCTGCACTATCGTCACCACCCTTGTCGTGTGTGAGCTCATTGTTACAGTCGCTGCGTCAATCCATCTCATTGAGGGTCGCCCGCTCTTTCGAGGATCCTCCACTTTATGCCTCCTGACAGCACTTATTTCAAGATGGATTTGCTTGTCCTCCTGGAAGTGCACGGTACTTTCCATATTCTTTGCCAACACTATCATTCACAAGCATCGCTTCTTCTCTGATCTTCATTATTCATTGTCCAGCTTCCGGGTGAGTATGAGGCCATTGAAAACACCACGGCACTTCCATCGAATGTGCCTCGGTCTGTACAAGGACTTCTTGTTCCCTGTCACTTTCAAGGTTTGTGTAGCACATGTGCCCAATGCAACTACGCACGCATAGTGTGATTTCTTGATTGCTGCTTCCATGACTGTTCATCCCAGAGCCAAGTAAAACGAAATCCCTGTCAACTTCAAGCAGGTTTTTTTATATAGGCTGTACCAATGGGGAATTAAATCTTATATTTTATATGCTAATAAAGGTGGCAAAAGTTAAATGAATCCCAGACAAAAGATAATCCAAAAGCCAATAAAATAATTATATTGGAGTCTGTATATTTTAAAACTTTAATAATAGCTTTTGGTAAGACAAACAGTTACCTATGTAAAACTTTGATTCCTTTACAAACGAACTCAGAGTTTCCCTCATGTGGCAAGGTGCCCAGCTTAACGTTGGCATCTCTGCCTCTGTTGCAGGTAGGTCTGACCATGTGATTAAGTTCTCGCCAATGAGAGGGAAATGTTGGGTGAGTCTCCTTGAAAGCCTCCAAAATAATCCTAGATATCTGGGGAACCGCATTTTTTATTTCCACATCGCGTTCCCTCCTGTCCTCTGTCCGTATGACAATGGGATGGCTGAAGTTACAGCGGTTGTCCTGAAGCATGAAGCAATCTTGATGCTAAAAGCTGCAAAGGAAGACGGCAGCAGAGAGAGACAGAAGGAGCCCGGGTCCTTGTTGGCTGCAGCTGTCCCACGCCAGGTGGGTCTGCCCGCTTCCTCACTTCTTTCAAGGGAAAGCAAAATAAATGTCCATTTTAGTTACGCTACTGTTAATTTTAGTCTCTGTTACAAGTGGCCAAACGTAATTCATAAGTGAGATATTTTGCTCTCCCCAAAGAGTTTTATGTAAAATACAAATAGCCCACACCGTGCAATTCTTCCATTCACAGAGTGAGAATGTGCGTAGCAGGTTTGGCAAATGAGGGTGCTGCGTTAGCTCAACTGATAGCGAGAAGGGAGAATTTGGATCGAAAGAGACACATACAGTTTTAAATATGCAATTGCAGCTGGCTGATGGTCTACATGTCGGCGTAATCAACGTGACAATGGTTGTGTAGAACTCTGGTCTATGGGAAGAGTTGTGTGGGTAGTAAACCTCTGACCAGCCTCTTGGTCATTCCGGGTATTAATGTTTCTTTCATCCAGGCTTTCTGAACAGGTCTTCCTTTTTCGTTGTAACACCCTCGACTCGTGGCTTCCATCTCTACAATCACTTCACAGCGTTTTCCTTCATAATCTGGCCCTTCGGCACGCACGGCCCCCGGGGGTCTTGTCAGTCCACGTCCTTCCTCGGGTTCCACACGTGCTCTCCGTCTCAGAGGGGTTCCTGCAAGGCAGAGGACAATCGCACCATCTCTATCTTTTTCCGGTTTCCCCTGACTTTCTAAAACAGTGGTTCTCAACCTGTGGGTCACGACCCCTTTGGGGGTCAAACAACCCTTTCACAGGGGTTGCCCGATTCATAACAGTAGCAAAATTGACAGTGATGAAGGAGCAATGAAAATAATGTTATGATTGGTGGTCACCACCACATGAGAAACTGTATGAAAGGGTCATGGCATGAGGAAGGTTGAGAACCACTGCTCTAGAAGGTGCCTCACCTGGACTGCTGATGCTGGGCTCTCTGCTCCACACGACACCTTTCTTTCCTTCTCCTACAGTTAACTTGTGGAGGCTCTCATTTATTTCAAATACTTGCCAGGTAACTGGACGCCAATCTGGTAAACTAATTCACAGCCAGGTTCTCACCCACTGATCCATCAAACATTTATTGAGCGCCCCGGCTTCTGTGTTAGGTGCGCATGACTGACCGAGGCCACCGGAATGCATAATCAGTGTGCAGGGTAGCAACCTTGGACTTGGCTCTGGACAATCTAGGTTCTACATTTCATTCTGCCATTTGCTTGATATATCACCCTGGTGGGGGTGGGGGTGACATTTTCTTTGTCAGTCAGAATTTGCTCATCAGCAAAATCCAAGTAATGATAACTTCTTATCGGCATTTCCATGGTTTCCAGGTCAACTGTGAGAGGGCTTCCAAAGTTTGTGGAAAAAAATTCCATTATCTTGCCATTCCATTTTTCCACACACTTTGGTGGCCCCTTTTATAGACAGTGCCTAGCTCATAGTGGAAGTTACATGATGGTGCCTTGGGGTGTTATTGGTGACTCATTCCCTGCAGCATTGATGGAAATGTGTACATCTTTGACTCTGACTGTCGATTGTCATTGCCTTAACAATGAACAAGAATCCTACGTCTCGTGATGGGATGGTGGCAGGCCTTTAGGGAGCCAGGAAAGTCCTCTGGCCTCGCATCCACACTAGTTGTCTCAGTTCTGACAATAGAACACCCAAGCGTCAGCTGTCTGAGGAAGCGAAGCAGAGCGAATTGCTGAAGACACAGGAGAGGTGTTCTAAGGATACACAGAGGTACATTTTCCACGGAGGCAGCCTCGCTATAAAATGCCAGCAGACAGCAGCAACAGATCGTGAAGTGAAAAGTAGGTCACTTGTTTAGAGTCAAGGTGTCAGGTAGCATACAAGGTGAAGATCCCAAAGCCATAAACAGTAACAGGCTGTGAAAATTGCTACAACAGCCATGAACCCAAAGGGTGGCTTCCCTGCATACAGCTGGCTGGAGAGAACTGCTGGCCCAGCAGCCCGTCTTTTGCCACATTGGCACGCATGGAAAACAGCACAGCAGCAGCAGCATTTTGACTGCAGAGGACAATGATAAATAGAGACCCGCGAGCCAGTTATGAGTCTACAAAGACGGAAGACAGAGGAAGAGACACTGTGAAGATCGCTTTCTTTGTATTGTTTTGCCCCTAAAACGTGTGTTTTACTTTTCAACTGGTTACGCCTTCTAATTTTAGTGTCAAAGTTCAAGGCGCCAAAATGACACATCTGTTTGCTGGCATTTTCATACCGTGTGGAGGCCTCCTACCCCGGTGTCATGTTTTTTATGTTGTGGGAACTTTAAACAATACTTCTTTTGCCTGCAAGTGACAAGGCGTGTGAGATCAAGGTCTGTGGTTGTAACTTCCTTTGAGAGTCAAGGCAGTCCTCTGGGGCTGTCAGCTCCGGGGGAAGGGAGGAGGTGGACAAGGTGCCGTTTGCATGGTAGGGGGCAATAAGAGACATATACTGCTGCACTTCGTTCTTCTCCACTTTGGGATGGCCTCTGCTTGTGTCCACTCACTTCTTTTGCCTACAAGCCATGAGAGTCTCTAGAGGAATGGCGGGAAGGGAAGGTCGCTGAGAAAATGGAAGAGGGATGGCCGGGTGGGAGAGGCGTATTGTTGAGTAAATCTTGGATTTAGAAGCCTACTTGTAAAGAGAGAAAAAGTAACCATCACATGTCAGGGTTGCATTTTGATTGTGTGAGTCAAGCTGAATCCTCCATGTTTCTTCTAACGTTAAACCGATCCTATGATAATGAACTTCTTATCATGGACTAAATGTGCTTCAAAGGTAAATAGTTACATTGTCAAAGTTATTGCAAAGAACTACCCAGAGACCCAAACAAGAACATGATGCTGGTATACATTTCTCAGTCATCTGACATACATGGTTTAATTAAGATATCGCATGATCTGAAGTCAATAAGAGTTTAAAACAAATAGAAGGTGTTTGGAAACGGGTTGCTGTGAAAAGACACTTCCATTCTACCTGCCCTGCCCTGGTGATATCTAGGTGATATTCCAAACAAATAAAAGGCCTTCGATAGAAGGTCCACAATTAGCATGAATAGAAATATTAGCTCTAATATGTTCCTCTTAAAATAGTAAGGGATGGCATTGAGTTAAAAAATCATACAGTTTTAAATGGTTAGGAAACAAACTTGAGGACAAACTATACCTCTTAATCCCCACATGGGCCTTGGTGGTGCTGCCAGTCAGCAGTTGTAACCCAGCAGCTGCTCTGAGGAAGAAAGACGTCCATGTTTGCTCCCGGAAAGGTTTTCCGCCTCCGAAACTCTGCGTGGGGTTCCCGTGGCTCGGCATTGACTTGATGGCGGTTGTAGAAATCTACACTCGACAGGATCGTCTTTAAAGAGCTCTGTGAAAGGCCTTACCCGAAGGAACAGCAAGTGGTATTCCTGCAAGTAAGAGTTCCATTTTCAAAATACAGTATCGCATCAGGAAAGGTGGATTTCCTGGGAGAAGGGTGAGAGCGTGGCAGGACATAGGTTCCCAGACTGATTTAGCCCACCACTCCCTTTTCAGGCAAAAAGTACTCAGTCCTCCTCTAGCAAGTGAAAAGGTTTGTAGGATAGGTCATAATCCAGAATAAAGAGTAGTTACCCGTTTTGCAGCCCCTCTGGATAGCCCCAGGACCCCGACGGGCAGCATCTTTGGGAGACACCGTGAGGAAGTTGCTTTGTTGTGTGATTGTGAGCACACACATTCATTTATTTCCAGTAGGATCTTCACTCAATGGAGCAGCATTTGAATGTATGGCTTTAAATGACTGGAAAGAGATTAAGATTTTTAAAAATTTAGACAACAACTAAGAAACTTTCCAATTATGTCTGAAGGCAATGAAAAGCTATGGAAATATTTAAATTGCCTAACAAGGAACTAAATGATCCCTTTGGCTCTAAAAATATCTCTCTCTTATTTTTCAGGCTATGGAGTATGTTCATATATGAATACAATTGTCCTAGAATACTTTTGGGGGGATAACATGTTAGATTGGCTAATTCCATTTAACATCAATGCAGAAAAATGAAAAGTACAATTTTTCCTTAGACTGAACATTTTTCATTATTCCTCACTTGCATAAAATTTACTTATATCAGCTTATTAATGCAAGCATGCGAGCTTTCTCCTTCAGAGAGGTTATTTTCATGAACTAAATTTAGATCCAATTTTCAGTTTATCTCATGTGTAATGATGCTATTTTAAAAAACCCATAGGAGCAAAGAGACTTTAAATCCACTGTTGACTTATCTTCTTTGAAAATGTGTACTTAGTTATAGAACAGATACATGCTTACAGCTACTCAGCAGCTGAAGAAGGTTTCACTTTGTAAGAATGCTTCTCTGACGAATCCATTATGAACCCATCTGAAAATTTTTTTTAACTTCCAAATTCCTTTATTTTATTATTATCTTTTTATTAAATTCTTTTATTGGGGGCATCTCTTATCACAATCCATACATTCATCCATTGTGTCAAGCACATTTGTACATATGCTGCCATCATCATTTTCAAAGCATTTTCCTACCACTTGAGCCCCTGATAGCAGCTCCCCATTTCTTCCCACCTCCCTCCCATGTGGAATCATAAGGACACCTTCATAGCATTATTGAGAAAGAGGCCTTTAGGGTTTTCCTACATGTATTGTGTTAATTAGTCTGGTACTTTAGAGAAACAAATCCACAGAAACTCATGTATAAAGGGTCAGTGCACATCAAGAAGACATCCCAACCCAGTGCTTCCCAAACCCACAAGTTCAACATTAACCCATTAACTCATATGTCCAACACCAATCCACAAAATCCTCCTCCATCTCACAAAACACACACTATGATGTCGACTGCAGGAGGAAAGCCAAATCAATGAATGTGTAAGCATCTCAGCACACGGCTGCTCCAGCACCCAGGGCTGCATTGGGGTAGGTCCATGTGGCTTCTCCTTGGGGATATCTTGCAGGAAGTGAGCCTTGTCAGCTGAAGCAGGGAACTGCTAAGGCAGCTCCACCCTGGTGTGACCATCACAAAGCAAGAGACCTGAGGACTAGAAAGGTGAGGCTCACTGAGCCATTTATCCCTCCACCCTTCAATTAACCCCATATGTGTTTAACAGCCAGGTTAGCACAATAAGCTAACTAACTAAAGTTATACAAATAGAGTCTCACTTCTACCCATTTATCTAGATTAGTTCTAATTGTTTGAGTGAATCAAATTTCTTGTGGGGAATAGAAAGTCCATAAACTAAGCACTGGCTCCCTCCCTACCCTCACACCCCAATTCCATTTCCTGGAAACTAACATGAGTTTAAAATTTTTGAATTAATACCATTTATTAAAAATATCAATGAATGGCTCTGTGCTCAAATATCATTGTGGTTCTGTGTGGACCTTCACAAAACATAACTCTCAGAGGGTCTTCACGACTACATTCTGGACAGAGATAAAAAGGTGCTCAAAGATGACTGCTGCCAAGACAGAACTATCTCAGACACTTGTGATTCATATTTGCTGGAAAATGAAGAATGACATTATTTACAATTACACCAACATTCATGGAGGCTATCAGAAGCATAAAGGTGCAATATGACCACAAGAAATCTTTTCATATTTCCCAATTAATTTTATATAGTCAGTTCGTCACCACAGCAGCCTGTTCTTAACAAGCAGAATTTTTAGGTCCATTTAATCAAAGAGTTTCATATATCTTTCTGGGTCTATTTATTTAAGATGGGAGGAGAGACTGGAACCGGGTTCTTTATTATATCAAACATTCTCAGTGATGTCAGATCTTCATTTGGTATCCAATTTCTTTAAGATAAATAGAACAACTCTCAGCAGGGTCCCTGTGGTAGTTACACAATCTCATGTCACCTTGAGGATATTAAGAGTGAAGGAGTGGAGTCTAGCCTTTTGATAAGGCACAGCCTTCTTGTGGGCATGGCCTTATCACGAGGATGCTGGGACTTCCTCCCTGGTGGTGGGACACACTCTTTCTCTGCTTCACATTCCTGTTGACAAGCCACATGGAGCCACGCTGATGGGAGCCAGAGTGCTAGAGATGCGTCCACCACCATTGGATCCATAATACTTTGCACCCTCCGGCCTGTGATCTTGCTACATTTTGCATCATTACATGTGACTGTGTGAGTCTGAGGAGTGATTTATGGACTAGTACCGGACTTATGGGCTAATATCAGACTTATGGACTTGATCTGGACTGGGCTGGGATTTTTCTCAATATGTAATTGCTCTATGATATAAAGGTCTCTCTTACACAAACATGAGCGTCCCTGGATTTGTTTCTCTAGTCAACCTGGACTAACACAATCAAATGTAGATTGGAAAGGTGTATATGGAAGAGAACTCATTCTTTCACATCTTCAATGTCATCTCAGGTTCAGCTTCTGTACTAGACCCTCAATCTGAAACATCACGGCTCGACTTCAGCGACTCCAAAATAAATTGAGTTTTGTGGTATTTATTTTAGAGGTTTTAATGTACCAGCATTTGGCTTCTTAATTATAACATCTTATTCTTACCCTTGTGATCTCATTTCAGATTATATTTCTAATAGAGCCAAGAATAAAATTAGAGGGATCTGTATGTCCAAAATCTTTTAAAGGGACCACATACCTTCATAATACCTCTCTCCACTTCTTTCCATCACTTTCCTTTCCCTTCCTTGTCATTTGCCTTTCAGTTTCCAATACGTCTGAGCACCACCACACAGCTCTTTCATAGCCAGTGGGCTTTCAGTGCCATCTCATGAACGGCTGCATGAGCTGAGGATACAGGACTGACATGACTAATGCTGAAGGAAGACACAGAATCATAGGCGGGGAAGAGACAACACCGTGCCATCGCTACAGACTGAGGAACCAGAAACTTGGGGGAGGTGTGGCGGAGGGGTTGGTTCAGTCAGCTGTTTGATTGTTGACTTCATGATTTACATTTTATGGAGCAGTTCAGGTGCATGTCTATGCAAATTTTAATTGTTTTCTTCTTAGCTTTGCGAAAGAAAATAGAGACTAGAAACCTCTACCTGTCTGTAAGTCTTCCTATTGACTGCAGGTCTTTCTGATTTTAGATTCTCTGGCAGCAAACTGCACTGTAAGATGAACTTCCCTATCTTGTTCCTTAGACCGGTATTGCATTTCCCCTTATTATATTTCAGAAGGGATGTCTGACCCAATAGCATTGATTTTCCTCTGTTATCATAGCCAGGACTGAGTAGTTAAGTTGAAATATGCACTGTATTGAAGCTACCATAAAAGGGTTGCATTTGCCATCCTAATAATTTGCAGCCCTTTTCTCTTATGGAAAAGACCTAAGCTTATATTTCCAGATAAAGACCATTGAATAAATATGATAAAAAAACATTTTTAAAGAAAAAAAATGTAGTCCTCAATTGCATATATTTCCAGGTACTCTACCTCTCTAACTTATCTGCATGCAATTAGAGGCATATTCTGCAAAAAATCAAAGTATTATTATAGCAAAATATGCAGCAAGCATTCTTTATTTGTCAGATGTGCAATATCAGGCATCCACCACTTTTTCTGCCCTTGTAATCAGAAGGCAGAAGAAGGGGGACAAGGTTTTACACTGGTTCATTCAGAGCCCATGGAATGAAACTAGGAGGGATGAGAATTTGCAACATGTGAGTGCCTGGAACAACAGACATAAGGAAAAGTTCAAGTTAATACCCTGCTAGAAATGTCACCTCCCTCTTACAAATTAAGGACTGAATGTGGGTGACATACAACCAAGTCTCTTGCCTGACAGAGTTGGAAACAGGGCTGCCCTGCTCTCAGTTCGTGGCTGACCATGGGCTTTGAATGTGTATTGCTCTCTACAGTTCTGGAAATCTCCCACCCCCCACATCAGGCTCCTGTAAGGGTTTACTTACTGTACGTCTTCCAAGACTCCCATTCCCGTCCTTTGACCTACGCATTTTTCCCATTTTGGCAATCATTTCAGTCACTCACAGTTTGCAAATTCCAGTCTGTTCCTATTGCGTTTTATTGGCCTTGACTGAAGCAGCGTGAACCCGTTCAAAGCCCTGGGGGAGAGCACTGCACATGGCTAGACAGCCAAGTTAATCTGTAAAGCGGATACACAAAATGGTTGATCAAACCTGTCTATCTTTCTACCAGAAGGATAATGACAAAAACAATAAAACAATAAAATTTGCATTGAGTATCGTTTGATATGAATTCTTTAGAACTGTAATGAAGAAACCTGAAGCCACCGAGGTTCAGTAACACATCCAAGCAGATAGGGATGGGCAGTGGCAGGCTTAACGAAAGCCCAGGTTTCCCGAATCGCATTACAATTTTCTTTTTGTGATACTTCAAATGTGATTATTCGTTGCACCATCCACTGATTGAGTCATTGTTTCTTACATGGGTAAGCATGGAGATTTGGATACTTCAAGGTCAGTTTTTACATTATTTTGTCTTGTTTGGCTTATTCCCAGGATGTCAGTCGG